TTATTTTTAAAAATTAAAAATTTTTTTAAACCCGTTTTTCCTCAACTAAATCTAAACGGAATGATTTAAAGTATTTGGAAATTTTAAGAAGTTTTTAAGGGCCCTCGTTTTTGTCTTTGGGGGAAATTTCGCCAATTTCAAACTATTTATCGAAATTTTTTAATTTTTTCTTTTTTTTAAATTTCATTTTTAAATTTTTATTTTTTATATTTTTTAAAAATTTCCACCAGGAAAAAAATTAAATTTTTTCATCAAAACTTTTAATTTTTCCATTTTTTTCTTTTTAATTTTTTTTTTAAAGATTTAATTTTTCCTTTTTTTTTTTTTTACAGGGGGGTTTAAAAAAACCCAAAAAGTTTAAAAAGTTGAAAAAAATGGTTTTTAAAAAAAAGGTTTTAAAAAGTTTTCCCAAAAAAAATTGGGATTTTTTTCAAAAAAAATGATCCCCCAAAGGTTTTTATGGCTTTTTTAAAATTTCGAATTTTTAAACAAAAATTTTTTTTATAAAAAAATGGGCAGGGAAAATTTTTTTCCCTTAAGGAAAATTTTTTAATTTTCCAACCCCCTTTTTGACTTTTTTAAAATGTTAAAAGAAAAATAGATTTTAAAAATTTTTAAAAATTTTAAAAAATTTTTCAAATATTTTTTTAACTACAAATGTTTTAAATTTTCCTTTCCCAAAAAGGAAAATTTTTTGGTACTTTTTATTTTTTTAAGGAAATTTTTTTCAAAAAGCGAGCAAAAATTTTAAAAAGAATGAAAGGGTTTTTGCGGTTTTATTCATTAAAAAAACCTTAAATTTCCCTTCCCATGGGGGGGAAAGTGTTTTTCAAATTTTTCGCACCCCCCCTTTTTTTCTTTTTTTGTTCAAAATTTTAATTAAAAAAAAATTAAAGAAAATAACCAAAATTTTTTAAAAATTTTCCAAAGGGGAACCAAAAGGAACAGGGGTTTTAAATTAAAGTTAACAGGGTTTTTTAGGCTTGATAAAAACATTTATTTTAAAAAAATTGGTTTTAAAAGGTTACTAATAAAAAAACAATTTTAAAAGGGGGAAATTTATTTGCGATATTAAAAAAACGATTATCTTTGGTAAAAAAAAACCAAATTTTTTTTTTCAAAAAATTGAAAAATTTTCCTTTAATTTTTGTTAAAAACCCCAATTTTTTTTGGGTAAAAAGTTTTTAAAATTTGGAAAATTTTGAAAAAAATTTTTTTCTCCCCTTTAAATTTTCACAGAAAAAAGGTGAAAAAGGGGGAAATTTAAGGGAAATTTATTGGGGTTTTTTCCCAACAAATAAAACAAAAATTTTATCAAAAATTTTTTTCGTGTTTTAAAAAATTTTTTACATTGTTTTTTTTTTTCTATTTTTTTAGTCGTACCTTTTGTTTATTTCATAATTTTTTTACAATAAAATAGATTTTGAAAAAAAAGGGAACAGGGTTTTTTTTTAGGGTTTTTGGGATTTTTTAAAATTTTTAGAAAAAAGGGTTTTTTTAAATTCCCCTTTTGAAATGTATTTTTTTATCACAAAAAAAATACTTTTCAAAAATTTTCAGGACTAGGTTTTTTTAAAAATTGAGTCTATTAACCCATTTTTGGGGATTTAAATTTAAAAAAGTGAACTTGCCTAACCGCCCCCTTCCTTTTTTAAAGTTTCGAGCTGTTTTGGTAAAAATTTTTTATGTTTAAACGTGGTTTTAAACATTTACGTCTTGTCTTAAACGTATTCAAAAAAATCGTTTTGTTTAAACCAAAGGGGTAAAAAAAATTTCCAAAAAACACGGTTTCCCTTATTTAAAAATTTTTAAAATTTTTATGGGGGAAAATTTTCCCAATTTTATCCCCTTAATTTGGAACCCCCGGGATGTTCGAGGAAAAATTCATAAAAACCCGACTAAACATTAACCCCAAAATTTTTTTTTTTTAAAAAAAGTTTTTTCTTTCGCTAATTTTTGAAAATGAATTTTAAAGGCCCCGTGTGTTTAGATTTGGAAAAAAAGGGTAGGGAAATTATTTTTTTTAATTTTAAATGAGACCCGAAAATTTAATAGGGGGACATTTTTAAAAGCCTTGTTTTTTAAAATTGGGGCTTCGTGCGAAAAAAAGGGGGGGAAATGAATATCTCTGGCAAATAAGCGTTTCTAATCAAAAAAATTTTTTCATTTTAAAAAAACCCAAAAAACCCTTAAAAAAAAAACAAAGGTTTCCAATTAAAAACCCAAAATGCGGAAAGTGAAATTAAAATTTTTTTAAAAAGAATTTTTTCATTTCATGGGCCCGGGATTCGAGAACGTTTTGAAAACCCCTGAGGGGGTTTAAAAGGGAAAAAAATTTCTTTTTTCATTTCAAACTCGCGCCTTTTAGTTTCGTAACGGCAAAATAAAAGTAATGTTTCGGTTTAAGGGAAAGCTATTTTAAAATTTTTGCTTTTTTTAAGTTTTAAATTTTTAAAGAGTTTTAGAAAATCAATTTTTCAGGAGCAAGAGGGGAACGCCAACCCGGGTTTTTTTAAATAAACGTAAAAAACAAAATTTCAAAAAAATTTCGGGTTTTTGGGAAATTTGGGTTTTTTTAAAAAATATTTTGTAAAAATTTTGCCTAAAATTTTTTAAAAAACGGGGGTTTTAAATTTTTATTCCCTACAAAAAAAATTTTTTTTAAAAAAATTTTCAAAAAATTAAGTCAAAGGGTTTTCAAAAAAAAATGGGTTTTTAACTTTTTGTTTTTATTTTGGCTTTTTGGTTAAGGGGTTTGGGTTGTTTAGGGGTTTTTAATTTTTTTTTTAATTTTTTTTAAAAGAGCGGTGGAAAAATTTTTTTTAATTTAAATATTTTTAACCAAAAAACAACGTGTTTGAAAACCCCCATTTCTTATTTCCTTTTAAAGACCACTGGGAATTTTTTTCCAAGTAATTTTTTGGGGGCCGGGGAACAAACAAAAACACCTGCCCTTTATTTTTTTTTTTAAATGTCCAAAGGATTTTTTTTTGACAAAAATCTGGAAAAATTCCCTTTTGGGGTTCCTTTAAAGATAAAATTTTGTTTCTACCGATTTTTCCCAAGGGTTTCGGTACGTTTTAAACCCTAAAAATTTTTTATTTTATATTAAAGGGTTTTTTGGAAAAAAATTTTTTAAGTAAAAAATTTTTGAAAAGGGAGATAATTTTTCAAAAAATAAATAAAAAATTGGTATTCAAAGTATTAGGGAAAATTTTGGGGTTTAGTTTAAATTTTTACCCACCCCCACCCCTTTCCTTTTTTTCCCAAAAAAAAGAAAACAGATTAGTTTTTGGTTTTAATTTGGTTTTAAAAAAATTTTGGGTTTTTTTAGCACTTTTTACAAAAAAATTTTGGCCTTCATCGGTTTTATCCCTGTCGCAAACCCCCAAATATATCGTTAAAAAATTTTAAATTTTCCTTTTTACCCAAACAAAAATTTTAAATTTTTAAAATGTAAATTTTTAGCAAAAGAAGTTTAAATTTTTCCTTTTTCACCTTTTTAAAATTTTTTTAAGTAAAATTTCATAAGTTTTCAAGTTAAAAAAAATTTTGGAAAAACGACAAAATTCACGGATATTTAATTTTAAAATTTTATGAACCTTTTTCAAAGGACCAAAATAAAGGGGGGAAATTTATTTAATTTTTCAAAATTTAAAAAACTATTTACTATTTGACCTATCTTCTATGATTTCGAGGAAAATTTTCATTTTTAAGGTTTAGGAGCCCCACAAATTTTAATTTTTAAAAACAAAATTTTTTTTTAAATTTTTTAAAAGTCAAAACTTTTTTATTTTAATATTTACTCTGACAAAGTGTTTACCCCGTCTTAAAAGCCGCCATTATGCCGTATCGCACCATTTCGCCTCGCTTAAAAAAGTATCGTACCACTATACGTTCGACGCCCTATTCAAATTGTGAATGCGATTTTTATTCAGAAGACGCAGACCATTAATTTTTTGAATGCCCATTATATATAAAACAGAGGCTTACGTTATTTATGAATACTCGTGATTATCACCCTGTTAGTGCAGCCCATAAATTGCTTTTTGGTATCAGTCAACCTAGTGATGAAGACAATTGTCATTAATGATAACATCTATATTATAACCATTTACTTAATAAGTATTCAGTGAGAATGTAAGGAACAATTCACACGCATACAAAATTACATTAAATGTTCAGATTGTGGTAAAGAGGGTGCATTGTATATTACTTCATTAGACTTTAAACATTACTTACAAAGCAAACATTATGTTTATAAACCCTTTTGCCCCTTTTTAAAAGAATATTTTATAACCCCATTTTTTGTTTTAAATTTTTATTTTTGAAAGTAGAGTTGTTAAAGGGTTTTTTGCATCGTCAACAATATAGACTACGTGACAACAAAAAACCTTAAAATTCGTAAATATTTTCGAATTTAAAAGGGTTTAAATGCGTGAGCATATTGTTTAAAAATTTGGCCCTTTTTATTGAAAAAACCTCCTGTTCATGTTTTAAAATTTCTACGGGGAAAATATGAAAAAAAGCTTCAAAAAATGATGAAACTTTGGGGACATGTTGATGGGGTCATAGGGCCCTTTTAACAAACAAAGCTCCCAAAATTTTAAATTTTCCCGTTTCCCTGACAAAGGGGTTTTGGCTCAAAATTTTCCAAAAATCCCAAAATTTTGCACTGGGTTTTTTTTCATTCCCCAAAACTGAAATTTTAAAGTGGGGTTGAGATTAAAGTTAAAAAGGGTTTCAGCGTTGGTTGCATGTTACCTTACAGTCAACCTGAGGCAATTTCTTGGCGATGAGGGGAGGGGGCTGCCGCCACCCTTCAAACCCCCGAAACCCTTCTGGCAACCCCTTGATGTACCTTTTCTAATAAGGGTGGCTTATTAAGGATTAAAGTGATGGTATAGATTTTGATACTGTAATCACACGGCCCAGTGGTAAGTACGGCGGAATTGTAACCATGAAGTTGCAAGTTCAAATCTTTAACAAACCATTTTTTGTAGTTTTCACAAACTGATCTTTAATTTTTTAGTAACATGTATATGAAACATAAGTTCATAGATAGTGTGTTTCATTTCTAGCATATTTTATTAATTTCATAATTTTGATAATTTTTATATACATATTTTTCATTTTATTTGTTTCAATATGTGAATTCGAACAATGAATTATTCGCATATAAAACATGGCTGTCAAATTTTGAAAAAAAATATAATACATTGTATTATATACATTGTTAATTATTCATCCTATTGCACATAAATTTGCACATAAATTGCAAGAGATGTATCACCTTGAAATAGACTTAATAAATTTTGTAACTCTTTTCTTCACTTCGTCGTGTTTAAACAATGGCTTATACCCTAGAATTCTCTCTGCTTTCTTTCTACTTAAAAGCCAAGTCTTATTTCTCATACGAACGATCCATTTACCTAAAGGGAAATCCACCTTCCAAAACAACGACAGAAATGTTAATACACAGAGTATTACTCGCATCAGTTGTACTTGCAACCACATTGGCGGCGAAAGAATAAAACATCGTAGACCACTGTCTTTCACCATTTCAAACAACGCATTCTGTCGACCCATTATGGGTGTATCATCAATGATAAAATAGCTTTGACCAGCGGCATCAGGATTCTTGTTGTCACGTAGAGCGTTATCTGCTTGTATAAACGACCAAGCTACGTTACCAACATAAACCCAATCACATTTCTTAAAGGAAAAATCAACATGTATATAGTATCCAGTAGCCTTTGTAAATGAATTACCATACATTTGACCAAATGTTCTCCAGTCCAAGTCTCCATATATTGCAGAAGGCCTAATAGCAACTGTTTGCAATGTCTCATCTGGAATAAAATGTAAAAAAAGTGTTAATACTTATTTCATAGAACAAAACACATAAATATGTAACATACCTTCACACACCACAACCTCAAACATAAAATTAGAATCTCTTTTGATAAATATCATTTTATAAGTCTAGATTATTTTTCGTTCACACAGTAAATTATACTACAGTTGACTCTCGATAATTCGAAATTCAGGGGACTGGGCATTTTACTTCGAGAGAAACGGAATTCGAGTAACGTGGATCTGCCGCCATTACGTTGACATTCGTACATGTATATACATGTACCTGATTGAATGTGCAAAGAAGTAGGTTTGTTATTGTTGATAGCGGCAATGCTGCAATATTTAACCGTTGAAATGACTGTAAATCACTTACAAATACAAATTTTTAAATGAACAAAAATATAGTATTCAAAATTTAATACATGTATATTAATAGTGAAATATAAACACAAGCATTCGTAGCAATGACATAAATGCAAGTTTGTCAGTATTCATCAGTAATTCACATGCTTTTAATACGCACTCATGATAATTCATTACAATAAAAGCACAATAACACATCTTTTCAACAACAATATATCTAATGTTTATAGTAAATTGATCATCGGACGAAAACGAAAGTAGCAACTATCGTGAACCGGAAGTACATATTAATGTATGCAATATGACGGAAAATTAATTATAAAAATGTCATTTACGTTGAAAACATAAATCAATACCTAGGCTGGTACAATTAAATTAATTAAATCTTAATTTACTTATCTAACTGTTAAAACCAATTAAGTCCTGTAACCGATTAAAGCCACTTTCACGACGTGCTAATAATACATGATGACCGGCAATTAAAATTACTATGAAACGTGTGAATCACGAGTGACAACATCTCAACGTGATGTCGCCGACCTTTGATCAGTCGGCTGTTTTCACACTTCGACTAATTGAGATGAAAATATGTTGGACTTTAATTGACGGGACCAACTTTTCTTTTCGACTAAACAGGAGTCTCGGTAAGTCAAAATTTGACCTAAGCGGAGTTAAAATACAAAGATAAAGAAGGAAATTTGACGGGACTTTAGAAATTCTTCGACTAACGCGGAATTTTGAGTAAAGCGATTTTGACTTATTGAGAGTCAACTGTATTAGGTTATGTATTTGTACAATGTCAGTATGTCCATATGTTTTGTGCTGAATAAATGAAGCATCAATCTAAAACTCATGAGAAAGGACAAGGAGTCTTATAACTATAATACAAGAATTGCATCCGTTTCCCAGCAAATTTGTGCTGTATGCATTCTTTAGTGAACTCATCCAATATTATATGAACACATTATGAATTCAGATTGGTAAAGAAAGGATCAGCTTTTACAAAAGAAATATCAATCCAAGATCGATGCATGCGCATATGGTAAGCATGGTAAAGCAAAACGGGCCATATTTGTTTGTTTGTTTGATTAATTGGGCTTTACGTCACACCGACATAATATAAGTAATATGACGACGTTTCAGCTTTACTGATGGAGGAAGACATCCAGTGCCCTTCCGTGCATTATTTCAGGGGCCATATTTGTTACACAATGTGCTCAAATAAGTCACAAGAAACTAAAAAGGTAAGATTGCTACATATAGTACCATTTGCTTTTAATACAAGTTGTTCCGCCTGTTGCTTGGTTTTACCATAAACAGAGAACATATGTTCTGTAGGATATGATAAATCGTCCTCCGTGCCATCTACAATGTCGTCATATCCTAATATTACACCGGCCGAGCTACAGTATAGTAAACGCTTTACACCTGACCTCTTACAAGCCTCTATCACTGTTTTCGTACCTATAAATGGAAAGTTACATAGCATTTGGTTAATAAGTAGAGGTACTGTTTGAAATAATAAATGTGTAAGTTGGAGTATATTTAATATACGAGTTTCATTAATAATAATAATTATTGATTGATGAAAATGATAAAAAAGTAAGTGATGTCCTTAAAGAAATAACTTTCATAGATATGTATTATGAGTAACTCTGTAATTGTGGTAATTATATGAGGCGGACATATTAATGCGATAACAGCTGAACAAGGAGCACAAGTTGAAGAAGGTAAAAGGAAGACAGCATTCAAACACAATGCGTTAACAAATCTAAAAAGAAATTTCAACTTCAGGTTGTTTTTTTTCGAAACTTACAATGAAAAAAGCAGTCACCATGTAATAATGAAAAACAAAATTTTCTTAATACCTTCTACGTTGATTTTATAGCTTCGCTCAAAGTCAGCAAACAATGTAATATCAATAAGACTTGCTAGGTGTATCACACAGTCGACACCTTTACATGCCTCTGTCATGAATTCCAGATCCAGAATACTTCCAACGTATTGTCTCATTGGCTTCTTAGCTTCATACTCTATGAAACAAAAAACAATGTAAAACAGGCGGTTTGCTTAGACATTAATCAAAATTATATAAAATTGACGCCGGATTAAAAACTCTTCAAACAAACCCCGATATAAAGCGCTAAGCAAGGAAGATACTAGTAGGATATTTTGAATTTTCTTAGGTATGACTCGGCGTGGATCGAACCTGCGCTCTCCTACATATGAGATCAACACTTAACCCCAAGACAATCTGTAGTCATTGTCCCTGAGAACGTACAAATAGAAAGCCGTATATGATTAACGTACATTACATAAATAAGTAGCTCATAAAATTATCATGCATTCTTTCAGTTCTGACTATTCATAAAATACCCGTATTGTTGATGTATGGTTGTGTATCCAGAACTCGTATCTCTGTCACGTGATCAGTGTAATTGTGCAACAACCCAACCATATGCTGCCCGAGAAAGCCTGAACTTCCGGTAACCAAAACCACATAATCTCGGACTCGCCGTGACATTATGTTGGTATGTTAGAGCAGCTGTGGTAATAAAAAGAGAACACTGAAGTTAAACACCCTTGTAAAAGTTTTTAAAAATTGACTTTCTTTTCTTTTTCATTATTTACTTTTGATAAAATGATAATTATGTCATTTGCTTTTTACGTAGTTATAAATAAGGCATGCTGTAAATAATACATTATTTGATCTGACATATTAGCAGAATTGGGAATGCGAGTCCTGTGTCTTGTAGTATATTTGATGATTAGGGGCGTTAAGGGGAAATATTTGAAAAGCAAACAACGAATACCTTTAAAAAATGCTCGGCCGAAGTAAAACTGGTTAACTTGCATAATAGATATTATGTTAGTTCTTAGTTTTCCATGCAAAGTCATATAGATATGTTAGCATAGCTAGCATAATAAGGTTATAATTTCTTGAAGGGTTATTAATCTTGAAAAATGGACCACTTTAAGATGCATGTGTTTCTAAACAAACCTGTCGTGTTTTGGTAAGTTAACTAAATTTCTAACACCAACATCTACGTACGTTGTCGGTAAGGCAATTATTTTTTTTTATAAATACATGTACTTGATTAATATGCAAAAGTATTATAAACATTATATCAATTGAACACATCAGTTATCATCTAATATATTAGACACTTATTGAACATCATAAATTAAAGGTATCTGATACGTTCTGATATTTTGCTCATTAATTTGAACAAAAAACTTAGATCTTGTGTACAATGAACTCAGTAAGTTCTTACATAACATAAACTGTTCACTTACGTAAAATAAACTGTTCACTAGAAAATGTAATGAGATCAGAAAGCAAGAAGTATTGTTAAACATGTTTAAATATCTGAACATTTTAACTAGAAAGTTAAAGAACTGTCCTATACATTTTATTTTTGAACATCCTTTACATTTTATTTAATAATTTTACATTTTAGTTTCGTACTATCCATTACATATTATTTTAGAGTGGCTATTTCGATTCCCAGATTTCATTTTGTAATGGAAATTAAATTCTTCCATGTAAATTTTACAGATCAAACTGAAAACAGATCGGCCTTCGGCCGGGAAAAAAATGCAAAAACAACAACAGATTACGTTTTAAGACCCTTTTCTATGTGGCGAAAACTTTTTTTGTTTTTGTCATCAAAACTGCATATAAATACTGAGTGTTTATGGGAGCGAAAACACAATAATTAGCGGGGAGATATTTAATAAATCAAACGTCGCTCCGCGGGGGCGCTGAGCAAGATTTAAGAAATATTACGGCTGGACGCGGACATCGACTTTTTGCTTGCGAAAACACGAATGGCACAAATCAGCCACCATAGTATCGAGATATATGAAAGTCAGCAGATATTCTTGTTGACATAATTATATTTCTAAATTAGACTATGGTTAGTATCACAAGTGTTCCTTGCAGTAAATACCGGTACATATTCTTAAGTCATGTTAATTGTGGAAACACTTATACATGGTCTTTTTCCATAAAATACAATTAGATAAAACTCAAATAACTTATACATGTATTTGTAAATAAAAACAGTTAAATAAAACTCAAATAAGAGGAGAAAAACAATGGTCGTCAGTGTATATAGAAAACAAAGTTAAAAGATTTAGAAACATTAAAATACACATACAATCAAAACCTGCTGCCTTAAGTTACAAGTAGTTATCCACTTATAAGGTATCACATAACACTTCACAAATTATGGAATGTTACAAATTTAAAAACACTGATTTCTTTTTAACACAACATTAACATACGTAAAATTATTTAACCATAACGTACAGATGATAATAGTTTACACTGATCAACGTTTATATTAGTTTAAATATACATGTACATGTTTTATGATAGATAACTTGTTACTATATTAAACAGCAGATTAAATATTATACATGTAATGACCTTTGAAAAATGTAAACAGACACCGGAAATATTGATTTAAATGCGAAAAAATACATTATAACAGAAGTCATTTAATTTTTCAGTTTACGTTTTGCTTATATTATTTCGTTCGCTAGTTATTCACAAATTATCTTAAACTCTTTAAAGAACTACATTTATAATATGTAAACGCAATATACAAAGTGCGTTGCTTGAGTTACACAATATACAAAAGGTTTTAACTTCAAAAATTCCGGTTGTGCAGAAGTTCATCTGCATGAACACTTGGTCTTTTTATACCTAACCGAAGTGTAGCGGAAAGCATTTTACATATGTCAATGTTGTGTTAAAAAGTAAATTAAATTTATAACATTCCGTAATTTGTGAAGTGTTATGTGATACCCTAAAAGTGGATTATTACTACTTGAGGTAGCAGGTTTTGAATGTATGTATATATTATGTGCTGTATTTTAATGTTGATGTACCTATTAATACCGATGTTTTTAACTTTTAACTTTGTTTTCTATGTGCTCGTTCTGTATACATAATACACTGACGGAAATTGTTTTTCTCCTCTTATTTGAGTTTTATTCAACTGTTTTTATGTAAAAAATACATGTATTAATATGTTATTTGAGTTTTATTTAACTGTATTTATGGAAAAAGACCATGTATAAGTGTTTCCACAATTAGCATGATTTCAGAATATGTACCGGTATTTACTGCAAGGAACACTTGTGATACTAACCATGTAGTCTTATTTAGAATATAATTATTTCCACAATTAAAACTATTAAAGAATATATGCTGACTTTCATATATCTCGATACTATGGTGGCTGATTTAGGCCATTCGTGTTTTCGCAAGCGAAAAGTCGATGTCCGCGACCGCCGTTTTATTTCTCAAATCTTGCTCAGCGCCCCGCGGGGCGACGTTTAATTTATTAAATCTCGCTCCGCTGATTATCGTGTTTTCGCTCCGCCACTAACAAAGTTTGCACTCTTACCCTATGCTACGACCGGATGTAAACAATACGTTCGCACAGGGCATGCGCGGTGGTTAAATCCCACCCATTTTATTCGATTAAATTCTAGAACAACCTCTACTTTCGGTTTCAATTTTGCTGACAAGGAACAGTTTGAGTCAACGTAAGTGTTAATTTTAATTGCAATGTCCAAAACTTTGCACTACACGGCGTAATTTTCATTACATATCCGGTATTTTCACCGTCATGGTAGTTTTTATTCCACTCGGTCAAAATGACGGTACACATTTACATGTAAACAAACAGATTTAACTTCTCAGACAATTTAAATAAGGAATGGACACACGGTAAACTCTGTTGCAACGTAAAGTATATTCATAAATCTGTTTGAGAAAAATTGTCTCCGTGTTCAAATAAATTTCAAAAACGGGGAAAAAAAGCAGTCTTTTACCGATACCCTGCAAAAGAACCTTATTATTCTGACGAATTAAATTGACTTTATAACGCTCGTATACAATTATTTATTAATCGATTTTCATTATATTTATTTTGCAATACCTATCATTCAATATGCAATCAAACAAAACCAAGTTTTCATACATTCAAGGAAATTGTAAGTTAGGACGAGCTTTCAAAACGAACAGGTAGCAATTTCCAACACGCTTATCGAAACACCAACATGGCGGCTCATTTGCATAATTTATTCATAAACGCAGGAGCATAGAACTTTGTTAGTGTCCGCGTCCCCGCCGTTTTACGAGTATTACTTAAATCTCGCTGGGCGACGTTTTATTTATCAAACCTCGCCCCGCGCTCCACTAATTAGCGTCTTTTTGCTCCGTGCCACTGCCATTTTAACTTATTAATACCTATGTTACTATATATAGTAACAAAATCTAGGGTATTTCAGGGCCATTATGGCAAGATCTAGGTCATTATGCAATTTTGGCCGCCTTGCTACTTGGCATTATTTTTCCATAATGGGCGAGTGAATGAGCGCACGTAGAGAATGACGTCATCAACTCTCAGTGACTTTCAAGATGGCTGCTGACGTTGAATGAACTTAAGTCACTTGCAAACACAATTTAAAGTTTAAATGACGTAATCAATCGCAATCAACAAAGCTTAACATTGGATATTTATAAACTCAAGAAAAGAATACTATAACTCATTCCAAGACAAAACATGACCAAAAATGATTTCAGTTTGACGGTATAGTTTTTTAAAAGAGACCGATCGGATCAGGACAGAAACTGTTCTTGAAGGCACAAAAGTTCATAAAAAACTGGCACTAAATGTTATTCTCACAAAAGATATAAAGAGTATTTATCGATATAAACAACAATTAAACAACATTGTCTCATATTTATTTTGTTAAGTAAATCGAAGAGTTAACCTGAATGACAGATATTTGTTAACATCGACAACTGTCCGTTCTTAGAAAGAAAGGGCGACAACCAAGATTAGCGGCGATATCTAAATGCCGTATTTCGGACATACGTATTAAAGACGTTAATACTTGACTGCTGCTCGCTCGAGTCCATAATGTCCTTCGGGCCTGCGGCCCTCAGGCCATTATGCACATCTTCGGGCCATTATCGCATAATGGCGAGCAGCAACCAAGTATTAACCTCTAACTAATACTCGACTTTTCGTTTGTCGGGGTCGCGGGGCAAATAAAAACGAATGGCACAAATCAGCCTACATTTGATACAACTCCCATGAAATCAGTATCTATACACTCAGTAATTATATGTAGTTTTGATGACAAAAAACGACATAGGAAATGGTCAGAAAACGTAATCTGTTGTTGTTGATTTTGTATTTTTTTCCCGGCCGAAGGCCGGTCTGTTTTCAGTTTGATCTGTAAAATTTACAGGGAAGAACTGAATTTTCATTAGTCATTTTGAAATTACAAAATGAAATCTGGGAATCGAATTGGCCACTCTAAAATAATATGTAAAGGATTGTTCTAAACTAAAATGTAAAATTATTAAATAAAATGTAAAGGATATTCTACAATAAAATGTATAGGACCGTTCTTTAACTTTCTAGTTAAATTGCTCAGATTTAACAATACTTCTTGCATTCAGATCTCATTACATTTTTAGTGAACAGTTTTTACGTAAGAACTTAAAGAGTTTATTTTGTTTTAATTTTTGTCGAAATAATTAATGAGAATAATATCAGAACTTATCAGATACCTTTGACTTATGATGTTCAATAATTGTCTAATATAATAGATGATTACTGATGTGTTCAATTGATATAATGTTTATAACGCTTATATATTTTTGCATATTAATCAAGTATTTATAAAAATAATTGCCTTACCGACTACGTACGTAGATGTTGGTGTTAGAAATTTAGTTCACTTACCGAAACACGACATGTTTGTTTAGAAACACATACATCTTAAAGTGGTCCATTTTTCAAGATTAATAACCCTACAAGAAATTACAATAAAACAAAGGGACAAGCTGTTAATCAGAGCCTGCAATTTCGTGAAAATAATATCACAATGCACATGCTTTTTATATAAAGTTATTAAATACAAATATAACAACATATTTGTTTACTTGATTTTTACGAATCAAAATAAATATAATTAACACAACATGAAATTAACTGCTAATAATAACAGCTCCTTCCATAGGCCAAAATAAAAAGCATTACATAAAAGACGACGCCGCTCACCGGCGTCGCCAATAACTTTTTTATGCAAGCTATGATAACATATCTTTATGACTTTGCATGGAAAACTAAGAACAAACATAATATTTATTATGCAAGTTAACCAGTTTTACTTCGGCCGAGTATCTTTTTAAAAGATTATTTGCTTTTCAAATATTTCGCCTTTACGCCCCTACTCATCGAAAATACTACAAGACACAGCCGCATTCCCAATACTGTCCCAATATGTCAGATTAAATAATGTATTTATTTACTGTATGACTTGTTTATAACTACGTAAAAAGCAAATGACATAATTATCATTTTATCAAAAGTAAAAAATGAAAAGGAAAAGAAAGTAAATTTGTAAAAACTTTTACAAGGGTGTTTAACTGCACTGTTCTCTTTTATATACCACAGCTGCTCTAACAATACCAACATTATGTCACGGCGGGTCCGAGATTATGTGGTTTTGGTTACCGGAAGTTCAGGCTTTCTCGGACAGCATATGGTTGGGTTGTTGCACAATTACGCTGATCACGTGACAGAGATAAGAGTTCTGGATACACAACCGTACATCAACAATACGGGTATTGTATGAATAATCAAAACTGAAGAATGCATGATAATTTTATGAGCTACTTATATATGTAATTTACGTTAATCATATACTGCTTTCTATTTCAACGTTCTCAAGGACAATGACTACATGTTGACTTGGGGTTAAGTGTTGGTCTCATATGTAGGAAAACGAGGGTTCAATCCACGCCGAGTCATACCTAAGACCATTCAAAATATCCTATGCTTCCATGCTTTCATGCTTAGCGCTTTATATCGGGGTTCATTTGAAGAGCTTTTAATCCGGCGTCAATTTTATATAATTTTGATTAATGTCTAAGCAGACCGCCTGTTTTACATTGTTTTTTGTTTTGTAGAGTATGAAGCTAAGAAGCCATTGAGACAATATGTTGGAAGTATTCTGGATCTGGAATTAATGACAGAGGCATGTAAGGGTGTCGACTGTGTGATACACCTAGCAAGTCTTATTGATATTACATTGTTTGCTGACTTTGAGCGAAGCTATAGAATCAACGTAGAAGGTATTAAGAAAATTTTGTATTTTCATTATTACATGGTGACTGCTTTTTTCATTGTAAGGTTCTGGAAAAAACTGAAGTTGAAATTTCTCTTTAGATTTGATAAGGTATTGTTTTTGAATGCAGTGTTCCTTTTACCTTCTTAAACTTGTGTGCCTTGTTCAGCTGTTATCGCATTAATATGTCCGCCTCATATAATTACCACAAATACAGAGTTACTCATAATACATATCTATGAAAGTTATTTCTTTATGGACATCACTTACTTTTTTTATCATTTTCATCAATTAATACGTTTTAATGCAAAATCGTAGATAAAATATATTTTAACTTAGACATTTATTTTCTCAAACAGTACCTATATTTATTTACCTAATGCTATGTAATTTTCCATTTTAAGGTACGAAAACCGTAATAGAGGCTTGTAGAAGGTCGGGTGTACAGCGTTTACTATACTGTAGCTCGGCTAGTGTGATATTAGGAAATGACGACATTATAGACGGCACGGAGGACAATTTATCATATGCTACAGAACATATGTTCTCTGTTTATGGTAAAACCAAGCAACAGGCGGAACAACTTATATTAAAAGCAAATGGTACTACTTGTAGCAATCTTACATTTCATAATTTCTTGTGACTTATTTGAGCATTTAGTGTAACAATAATGGCACCTGAAATAATGCACGGAAAGACACTGGAAGTCTTCCTCATTCAGTAAAGCTGAAACGTCACCATATTACTTATATTATGTCGGTGTGACGTAAAGCTCAATCAATCAATCAAACAAACAAATATGGCCTGTCTCGGTTCACCATGCTAATCATATGCATCGCTCTTGGATTAATATTTCTAAAATCTTTTTGTAAAAGCTTAACCTTTCTTTATCAACCTGAATACTTAATGTGTTCATATAAAATAGGATGATATCATTAAAGAATGCATACAGCACAAGTTTGCTGGGAAACGGATGCAATTCTTGTATTAGTTATAAGACTCCTTGTCCTTGATCATGCGTTTTAGATTGATGTGTACTTTATTACGATCATTTATTAAGCGCAAAACATATTGACATTTTGACATTGTACAATTGCATAACCTAATTATATAATTTACAGTGTGAACGAAAATAATTCAAACGATATGAAAATAATATTTATCAGAAGAGATTCTAATTTTATGTAGGTAGTGGTGTTTGAAGGTATTTAACATTTTTATGTATTTTGTTCTATGAAATAAGTATTGACACTATTTTTTTACATTTTATTCCAGATGAGACTTTGCAAACAATAGCTATTAGGCCTTCTTCGATATATGGAGAATTGGGCTCGAGAACATTCGGTCAAATGTATGGTAATTCATTTACAAAGGCTACTGGATACTATATACATGTTGATTTTTCCTTTAAGAAATGTGACTGGATTTATGTGGGTAATGTAGCTTGGTTGTTTATACAAGCAGATAACGCTCTACGTGACAACAAGAATCCTGATGCCGCTGGACAAAGCTATTTTATCTCTGACGATACACCCTTAATGGACCGACAAGATGCGTTGTTTGAAATGGTGAAAGACAGTGGTCTACGATGTTTTATTCTTTCGCCGCCAATGTGGTTGCAAGTACAACTGATGCGAGTTATACTCTGTGTATTAACATTTCTGTCGTTGTTTTGGAAAGTGAATTTCCCTTTAGGTAAATGGATCGTTCGTATCAGAAATAGGACTTGGCTTTTAAGTAGAAAGAAAGCAGAGAGAAATTTAGGATATAAGCCATTGTTTAAACACGATGAAGTAAAGGAAAAAGTTACAAAATATATTAAGTCTATTTCACGGTAATATACATCGTAATGTACATTTGTGTATATACAACATGGTGAATAATTAACACTGTATAGAATTGTGCAGAACACAAATGAAGAAGCAGAATATTGTGTTGAAGGTTAAAATATTTGTATTTGGTTTATTACAATATTTATCACATCTTGGTTAACGAGAATAATGCCAGTGCATGTTAAAAGAGATAACTTTATATGATTATGTCAAATTTAGTAAGGTAGATACAGAAAATTAAGAGATGAAAACATATAGATGACTGGTTATGTTTTAATTTTGAATACTTTATTTAATTATCAGAAATGGAACAGAACATATTTCTTTTGACTAAAAATTTCAATATCGTAGTTTTTAAACATAACAGTTTACATATATAAGATATGAGAGGTCATTACATATATAATGCATAACTATTTATTTAGTTTAAGCAATATTTCATTTCAGTCAAACATATATACACAATTTAATTACAAAATCAAACCAAAAAATGATTGAGTAGAAAGCTACAAGCTTTTGTTTTAAGAAACTCTCTGATTGGAATGAAACAATGGTCATTAATGATAACATTTATACAGTGAGACTGTTATTAACAAAACCACAACTACAAAATAATATTTGATGTTACAGAATACGATAAAGAACATGAAGTGTATATATTACTTTATTAGACTTTAAGCAGGATTTTGAGAACAAACATATCATTACATCGAAGAACGCTATACTTATGCATATGACATTTTTATTTAAATAAACGTTGATAATAACCCCGCCTTTAAGTCTTAGTTTTCATTTTTTGACGGTGACTGAAATATGTATTGAACCTAGCTAGACCGAGTGCAATCGTTGTCAGTGGTTTGTTTGTTTTGGGTTTTAGGTCACATCGACACAGTATAGATCATATTGCGACGTTGGAGGAAGACCTGATGTGCATTAAGACCCCAGGTGCATTGTCAGTGGTAAAAGGATCTCTATGTACTATCTCTCTGTATATTTGTTAACGATTGCTTTGCTTAATGAAGCTATCAGGCTTATATAGAGGATATTTGTTTAATTCAGAGTCAATATCGGCATATATTTCACCGAATGAGCACCAAAAGGTATATTTCACAAGTGGCGCAGAGCCTCGTTACCGCTGTAAACAGTTACCCTCGAGCTAGATATTCCCGTCTGCACTGACAGCCGGTCTTTATTGATTCTCTTTCTTGCATATTACATATCAATTATTTTCAGAACAGAAATTACAAAAACCGATGTTCTCATAACGCACTTCTTTCTTATTGTAGCGTATGAACTTACATCTTCATTCATAACGGTTAAGTGACGTCATCTCAAGAACGCAATTCATTCTTAAAAGGTCCGCGTCAATGACGCTCGCCAGAGGCTCGTATAATATAATTTTATTCAACTAGTGCAATCAATTCAGTATTGAACTTACACTCATTCAAAATCCTCTTTTTCTAGCACCGGTGTAAACGGTAGATAATCCTGTCTGATATGCAAGAATACAACGTGACGTCATTTACGACGTCAAATCAATAAGTTGGTTTCCAGTACTATGTACGCTGGTATTTCACTGAAACAACGTAACGGGCTAGAATTCAAAACAGTGAAAAGTATCAAATTGACAATTTCAATGTTTCAAACAGTGAAAATATCAGTTTTTTTTTATTTAATGGTTTTCAGTGGATTACTAATTTATCCGTGAAAATTATATTTGATAATTTCACAGTGAAAAGTTCAAACTTTTCAATAACGAAACTACTTTTTTAAGATTTTCCCCATGTGGTACCTCAATTTTATTTTTGTGATTTACTTGCATTCATTATATTCTCTAGAATGTGATTTACTTGTATCCATTATATACTCTAGAATGTGATTTACTTGCATCCATTATATTTTCTAGAATGTGATTTACTTGCATCCATTACATTCTCTAACATGTTATTTACTTGCATCCATTATATTTTCTAGAATGTGATTTACTTGCATCCATTATATTTTCTAGAATGTGATTTACTTGCATCCAATATATTTTCTAGAATGTGATTAACTTGCATCTATTCTCTTCTATTCTCTACAATGTGATTTACTTGCATCCATTATATTCTCTAGAATGTGATTTACTTGCATCCATTATATTCTCTTACATGTTATTTACTTGCTTCCATTATATTTTCTAGAATGTGATTTACTTGCATCCAATGTATTTTCTAGAATGTGTTTTACTTGCATCCATTCTATTCTCTAGAATGTGATTTACTTGCATCCATTATATTTTCTAGAATGTGATTTACTTGCATCCATCATATTCTCTACCATGTGATTTACTTGCATCCATTATATTTTCTAGAATGTGATTTACTTGCATCCATTATATTCCCTAGAATGTGATTTACTTGCATCCATTCAATTCTCTTGAATTATGTGATTAAATAGCACCCATTCTTATCTCTAGAATTATGTGATTTACTTGTATCCATTCTGTTCTCTAAATGTGATTTACTTGCATCCATTCTATTCTCTAGAATGTGATTTACTTGCAACCATTCTATTCTCTAGAATGTGATTTACTTGCATCCATTCTATTCTGTAGAATCTGATTTACTTGTATCCATTGTGTTCTCTAGAATGTGATTTACTTGTATCCATTCTGTTCTCTAGAATGTGATTTACTTGCATCCATTCTATTCTCTAGAATGTGATTTACTTGCATCCATTCATTTCTTAAGAATGTGATTTACTTGCATCCAATCTATTCTCTTGAATGTGATTTACTTGTTTCCATTCTGTTCTCTAGAACAAAACTTGCATCCATTCAAAGTTAAGGCAAACAAGTACGATTCACTTAATCAATAACATTTACAATATGTATGTTCATGAGTTCTAGACATGAAGATCGTATCGTTTGAATTAACTTGGTACATAGTTCTCGAATTGTTTAAATTAACTAGGCACATAGTTTTCATTTTCTAATTTGTGTGCTCTGTAAGTTTTGTCAATTACGAGTATCCATTTTATTAATCTAATATGAAATAACCTTGTAAAATATCAAAAAGAATGAAAAAAAAAAAAAAAACGACGAAAAAGATTTCTACATGATCGTTTTGCGCCTTCATCAGTTACGGATCTGAAAGCGTTCGTTTGATGTTTATAAATGAAGGGACACGATCGTCTTCACTAAACTTTTAAATCTTACAGATCATTAGATCACTTATAATTATTTGCTTCAGTAGGATTTGTTTATATATTTGCTATTTGTTGCAAATAACCTCAGCCTCCATGATATTTCACGATTATTGGTTGGCTTTAATGACGGACTATCTTAGCGACTTTTTCTCCACAAAAATTAAATTTACAATTTACGCACTCTAGGTGCATAACATTAGTCTACCACTTATTATGAATCCGGGTCAACTCGGCCCTAAAACATACTCGGCCCCCGAGTCAGCTCGGCCCTATTCCAACTCGGCACGGGTCAACTCGGCCCACTTTTAAAAATGGATAAAGGACATCAAAGGACTCCTATTGTCACGGGCTATTATTATCAATCAATGTGTATGTTAAAGATACCGATTAATTAGGTGATAATTATGATTGATTGACTCATTCATTCAAATTTGATTAGTGACCACCTGCAATTAATTAGAAGCTTTTGCTTATTAGTAAACACGTTTTTGTTTCATATTTTTTTGAAAATTACTTTGCAAACAAAATGCATGTAAGGAAACACATTTTTATTATATCTATATTCACAGGCACAACATGCAAAGCAAAGTAAATACGTTTTATAGGCCTATATATTTTTGTAAAGTGGGCCGAGTTGACCCGTGCCGAGTTGACCCGTGCCGAGTTGGTATAGGGCCGAGTTGACTCTTTTCCCTTATTACAAATGACACAGACGAAATCTAGCATGGGTCTAAACATTAAGACCGTATCGTTAATACGACCAGGTCTTTATAGTAACAAGAATTTAAGGAAGTGTCAAATATATATATATATTTTTTTTTAAAAAAAAGACGTTTTGTCTATTAATTTAATAAGTGTGTTTATTATAGATACAATTTATTAAAATCACGGCTGGTAGTCGGTAACGACAGGTAGTCGACCAAAAAATCTTTTTGCCATCAAAATGCTTGTGTGTATTATAAAACTGAGACGAAAGCGATATGTTAGTAGTCGTCAGAAATAACAAATTATGATAAAAAAGTAATTGGTTTAAGAAACAGGTAACTACCGCTTATTAACTTTGCATTGCATCTTTTTTGTTTGTGGTATCATAATGTGCCTAAAAAGAGACACGGTAATATTCAATAATTGCACTGACATTGATTGCAGACCTACAAAAACTAATATTAAATTGAACTAAACTTAATTCGGATACGTTGACATTTGGACAAAATTCACAAATTAGCATATTTCAATATATCTTTAGCAATGGATTATAGTGGCATTTACTTTCCAAAATATATAACAATGCATACCCAAAAATGTAATTTGATTGTTAAAGTATTAAGATGATTGTTCACCTGCAGGTTTAAATTCCTTGTATTTGCTGATACCAATTAATCAATAATGATTGGCAAATTATTGATGATCCTGTGCCAATATTTTTAATGTTTATGGGCTAAGGAAATTCAGGGTATGCTATAGGCCTAATGCATACAATCTGTGTGTACCAGTTAACTGTGCGACCTACATGATTTAGTGGTGTTGAAATTGTTCAAATTGATACTTTGGATAATGTACATAAACTACATAGTTGTTATTCATGAATGTATCATGCATTTTAATGTCTTATCAACAGAATTGCTTTTATCTGTCTCACTTCCAAACCTCTGGTTTTGTCTTTACTAGTTGTATGCAATTGCAAAGTCTACGTCCCCAGCAGGGTTTTGATTTAGTCCAACTAATTGTACTGCGCGACGAGATATTGTGCTATTTTCGTGTCTGGGCAATATCTCGCCTCTACTTATTGTATCCTATGTCATTATTCCATAATACAGTACTACATTGTAGGTATAAAAAAGTCTTTGCATGATTTAAACTATTTTGTAGATTTTATACAAACACGTATTTGTGAATATTTCTTTTTCAAAAATTTGCACACAGAAATTTATTGCCTTAGATGGTAAATCCCTCATATTGGCGGACCTATTAGTGTGGCCTAAATGAATTGCAAAACTTTATTGGTGTACATGTTTATTAACAGCATGACTTTAATTAACTTAACTAAACTTGTTTGTTTTTTTTCCAGACATTGTTTATGAAAGTGTGAAGTTATGGCTACCACTGGCTTGTGTTTGGGTATTGACCTTGGGACTACTTCAGTCAAAGTTTCACTTCTTGACATCACATCGAAGAATTTTATATTTTCCACAGCAGAACCTACCAATGCTGATGTTGATGTAGAAGGGCAGAGATCTGAGCAAGATGTGTCTAAAATTATGCAGGCTGTGTGTACTTGTTTGACAAGAATAACTAACAAAAACCGTGCCTGTGTAAAATGTATAAGCGTGTCAGGCCAAATGCATGGTGTGCTATTATGGAATAATGATTTACAATCAAGTCTTGAAGATGGAAAATTGACAGTCTGTAATGCTAGTAACATTATAACATGGCAAGATCGAAGGGCATCTTGCGAGTATATTTCAACTCTACCAAAACCAGACTCGCATCAGAACCTTGCTGCTGGATTTGGATGTGTGACGCTGTTTTGGATGGCACAGTTTGAACCGGAAAAGTTGGTACAATATAACACAGCCGGAGGTATCATGGACTATATGGTTGTTTTGTTATGCGGACTAGATAAACCAGTGATGAGTGACCAGATAGCTTCCAGCTGGGGATACTTTTGCTCTGAAACAAGCACATGGAACACACAAATGTGATTATTCATTTTTATATTTAAAATTCAGGGGTTTAATTATAACCTGGTAGCCAGGTTATATCCCCTGCAACATATAATTGGCCACTCGATTTGCAGCACCCTTATCTGGTTTGTGCCATGTAAATTATTATGCCTTTTTTCAAAACTGATGTTGCTTGATATAATATGAGGTTATTAAGCATTGTTGAGTACAATACTGTATTCTACTGGACAAGTA